CTGCTGAACTCCAATGCACAAGGTAAAAAGATATATGGATCCCCTATATAGACTGCATATAGAAAGATGGTAAATTAGTAAATATAAGAAACTGTTTCACTGATTGGGTTTTCAATGTGGTATAAATAAGAGTGACTGTTCCATAACTGAGGTCCCAGGAACTGCTAAAAAGTTTTCAAAGGGATTTCATTAGAAGGACTGCTTAATAAGGTGAGGTATTTTCAGGAAAAATTTATTATTAAGTTTTGGGTTTGGGTTTTTTTGTTGTCCTTTTTAAAAAACAGATGCACAGACAGGGAAAGGAGAAGGTGGAAGAAATTTCCTCTGGGATTGGCATAATCAATTTAGTTTAGCCCTATATTCTGCTGTGGAGAATAGTTTTGTGCGTTGCCATGGTCACCTTACTGTATTAATCCAGTGCTGTAATTTCAGAAGAGGGGAATCTTCACTCAGTTTATAAAATCAGTTTTTCCTGGAAGCTGATGGCATCCAATAAGAAGATTAAAATAGCATAAAGGAACCCTAAACACAAGTTTGTGGTTCCTTTTTGTGTATAAATGAAACTGAGACAAATGGATCTGTGCAATCTACACTGTGTGGGTTTCTGTGATTTATTGTTGCAAAATGCCAATCTGAAAGAGGAGATTACAGAAACACTGGACAACTGCTAACCTATATACAGGTCCTGTTTGCTCATCCAATCATATCCACAAGGTGTCAGGTAGTGACTTGAGTGTGTAGCCACCTCTGCCTCAGGATACACTTATGCACAGAAGAGGCCCAGCATGTGTATATATATATATACACACATATATATATATAGGTTAGGATACAGTGAAATATTTCAGTTGGAAAGGACCAACAATGATCATCTAGTCCTGACCACTTCAGGGCTGAACAAAAGTTTACGCATGTTATTAATGGTATTGTCCAAATGTCTCTTAAATAATGCCAGGCTTGGGGCATCGACCACATCTCTAGGAAGCCTGTTCCAATGTTTGGCTACCCTCTTGGTAACAAATTGTTTCCTAATGTCAAGTCTGAACTTTCCCTGGCGCCACTTTGAACCATTCCCACGTATAGTGCAGAACTGGTTTGTACTGAGAACCTGTTTTTCTCTTTTCAGATGTTTCTCTGAGTCCAAACCCATCTTTAACTTTCCGCACTATTGGAGGGATCCTTGACTTCTATGTCTTCCTTGGACCAACTCCTGAAAACGTAATTCAACAATACACAGAGGTTAGTAGAAAAGTGTCTGTGGCACACGGGCAGTACCTTGTAATGAACACTGCTGTAGTAACAGCAGGTAGCACAGTCAAACCTTTGTCCTGACTTGTTCAAACAAAGCCATAGCTTCAGGTCCATGGGCAATGTGGCGTGTGCTCAAGCATCTGCAGTCAGTCTGTCCAAGTGTAGCAGACTGGCTGGGTGTTCAGTGCATGTCTCCAGCCTTTCCTGCAGCATTTCACTGTTGAGAGGAGTGCATTTAGGGATTCAATGACTAGAAAGAAATTTGTCCAAGCTTAATTTTCTCTGGGCCATGGTAGTTTTACAGTCTTCACTACATGGCTATAATGGTGTTCTGACACTGTGCATGGAGAAAACGAAGTAGGTAGAGCACAGATGGGAATGTTTGGGAACTTTACATCTGCCAGACTTCAGAAGTGTTGAATGAACTTCAAAGGCTTCATGCCTTTGTTTGCTACTGGAATTGCCTGTTGGTTTTGGAGTTGTCACCCTGTTTTTTACTAATGAAAACTCATGTAATTGCATTGGAGAGCATAGATGTGAAAAAACATATTTACTGCTGGTCTCACAGAGCATAACTACTTTGCCCAGTGTTTTCCAAGGAACTGAGAGTACACCTACAAATAGCTGTTTTATTATTATCCAATGAGGGGTGCCCAGAAAAAAGTAGCAGGTAACATGTTCCTCCTGGTCACCAAATGCCAGGTGCCCATTAGCTGGGCCCCTGCATAGAAAATTGCCACTTCAAAATCAAGCTCTGTGCATAAAGAAACTAGTGCCAAGCCTAAAGAGTGTGGAGCAAAGTTGAGAAGGGGCATGTCTCTGTAAGAAGGGGGATGCATGTGTGCAGATCCTGAGGTTTAAACTGCAACAGGAGGTGCCAAGCAGCCTGCGGTAGGGCATCCCATAGCCAGGCAGCTGGAACTCACAGCGAGTTGTGCATGTGTTCTGCCTTGCCCTCAGCTGCTCCACCAAGGGGCTTGAGCTCTGATTTTCAGCAAACATCTGTCTTTCTTCACTTTTCAAAGCCTCCATATCATATGCATGCCTTCCTTTAAAGTGCCTGAAATGGAAACAGAAATATTGTGGTTTGGACCAAGGGAAAAAGAAGGTTTAGCTCAGAAGGAAAGTATTGTGGGTCCTCCCCACCTGCCACCTCTGACCCTGGTGCCTCGGACCAACTAGCAAATTGGGTTTTGAACTTACACATCAGCAGTCAACCAAACCAAACCAAACCCAAACAACCCCCCTCCCCAAAACCCCCAACCAATAAAGAAAGAACAAGTCAAGCGACTCTCCTTCTAGCCACAGCTTTCACTCCTGCAATGAAAGCTCCTATTTCAGGGGAGTTGCTGTGGCAGCATGATGGAAATTAGAGCCATCCCTGCTTCTTTTCAAAGCCTTTTGCTGGTGTTCGAAGGCAGCATTTCGGTGGCTTAGCAGGTGGCCGGCAGCTGAAAATAAAATGAAAGAGTTCTCACTCCCCAGCTGATGGGTACTGGCAGCTCACTTTCCACCCCTGCCTCTCTGGAAATGGAGCTGGAGTGAAGAAAACAAGGTAAAGGGGAGCCAGTGGGCGTCTCCTAACTAGACATGGCACATGCCGGGACAAAAAATCCCCTACTCTGTATTCTCCAAGCTTGCACTCAGCTCTCTAGGGAATCTTAAAGAATGCATGGTAGCAATTTCATAGTGAAATAATAACTTCTTCAGTAAACATCCTGAAATTCCGGGATCGCAAATGTTACAATTACCATATTATTAGTCTCTGGGTAATGATTTGGCTTTTATGTACAAGATCTGTGGGAAGGTGAAGGAGACAGAAAAGACTTTATTTTTCAATTGTATTTTCTGTCACACTGAGAGGACATTCCTGCATGGTCATTGTCAGGCTCCAGGGAAGCAGAGGGGGTGGAAATAAGCAGTGTGACTGATGTCGGCAAGGCACTGCTCAGCAGCATCCCTTGGCTTTCTTGGCTGTTTGCATGAGTCTCCTCTGGAAAGTGTGTTCTGGGAGCTCACAGCTGCAGGGTACCCTGGTGAGACCAGGCTGCTCTTCTGCACCGAGCTCCTTGGGGAATTGGCACCCACCTCCTGCCTGTGCAAACATCTGCCCAAAATCACTGCAGGGGATGTTTTGCACCCATTGCCTCCTCCCCAGGAGGGTTCTAGTGGTATGGCAGGGTGGCCAGGAGCCAGCCAGTGCATGGCTGTTGAGCGCAAGGGAGCTATGCCCAGAGCAAAGTGCTCCCCAGCTTACACAAATATTTCATGCTGTTGCCTTCAGCATGCCACTTCAAGACCTGAGCAACTCCCCTGGCCCCTGCTGTGCTAGTTTCTGTGAATGATTTAGGAGCTTAGCTCTGCTCAGTGCTTTTATGCAGCTCCCTCCAAACCAATGAGTTAGGACAGTCTTGCGATGAAGCTCTTTATTGGGTCTCTGGATTATGCAAGCTTTCCCCATGCACCTCTCCAGGTTGCTGCCAGCACCCTGGGGTGGCCCATGGGCTCTTGCCCAGAGCCACTGCTGCGTGGCCAGGTGGGGACAGATGGACTGTGCTAAGAGTGGGGCTCCCCGTGTGGTGATCAGGGGTGATGGTGGCTGCCCTGCCAGGGCCACCAGCCTCTCTGTGCATCTTGGGGCAAGCACGGGTGGTGGTGAAACCCATGGTGACCCTGGGTGTCCTCCTGGCCCAGGCTGATCTGGTTTAAATGGGCGCCAGGAGCAATGCAGGGAGTGGGAAGGGAGCAGAGGGATGAATGCCGGTGCCTCTGTCCCCTGTGCTGTGTCTTGTGTGGAGCTGAGGTGGGCTGTCGGATGCATCTTGCCAGTGACACCACAGCACTGCAGCAGTGATGGTGGGCATCATGCAAAAGGAAGGAGAAATCTCCATCCTGATTCTTCTGCTCCCTGCTGTCCCTAAACTTGGCCATGAGGAGCACTGCGCTGGGCACATCAGAGATGGTCCTGCCACAGCTTTATGTATTACGTATTGTAGTTATAGTTGTTTATTGTAGTTGCCCAAGGAGGTTGTGAGTTGCCCAAGGAAGTTGTGAATGCTCTACCGCTAGCAGTGGTCAAGGCCAGGTTGGATGGAGCCTTGGGTGGCATGGTTTAGTGTAGGGTGTCCCTGCCTATGGCAGGTGGTTGGACTAGGTGATCTTAAGGTCCTTTCCAACCCAAACCGTTCTATGAGTCTATGTATGTTTGACAATAATCACACTTTTCTCCTACTACAGAGGAGGTCCAGTGTGCAGAACAGTTATATAACACAAATCTCACTTCTTATGGGAAACGCCTTTGTTTGCAGGAGGATGGGAAAAAACAGAATAAACTAAAGAGCTCAGCCACTGAGCTGAGCCGAGCCTAGCTGAGGCTCTACAGCCCAACCTAGTACCAGTCCACCATTGCAAAGTGCACTGGTGGCCTTTCAGGGGAGAGTAACAATGCATAGCAGTAGAATATAAGCTCCATAACAAGACAGTCATCAAAGTCATAGCTCAACAAATGAGCATTTAACATCTTTTGGGTGGAGAGAATCTGTTAATAACAAATTTGTTATTTTATCAGAAATTACCCAATGACAAGCTTCAAGAAAGCACACTGCATGTCTCCTATTCTGTTTTAAGAGCAAATTGCTGGTTTACTTCCTCCTCACAGAAACACAGGATAGTTCTGGGCAGAAGGGACCTCATGAGGTCTTTAGTCCAGCCTCCTATTTGAAAGGTAACATGGGGAACCTGCTTGAACTTACAGTTTATCAATGATGATTCAGTGAGAGTTTCACAGTTGAATTCATGGGTCTCCCAAAAAAAGAATAAGCAGCTGATAAGTGTTTGTGCAGCAAAGAAGAAGGTTTGAAGACTTCGGCACTGAAAGTCCTTAAAATTTTTAGGCTTCTGTAGTTGTGAACATCATCTTAATGGTTCAGCAGCTTGCAGGGCCTTTCTTCTTGCTCTTCTAAAACAAAGTTCCACTTAATGGTTGGACTTGATGATATTAAAGGTCTTTTCCAACCTAGTCGATTCTATGACTCTATAATTCTGCGCACAGACTTTTGAGTGGAGCTTACCCCCTGCCTGACTACGTGCCCACAGTGCTCACTTGCCTGCCTCAGCTGCAGTAGATGAGCTGGATACAGATACCTGGGCCATATGAGCACCTATGCAATTTAGCTATTGTGTGACTATCCAAACACACTGTTTCTGTGTCTAAATCCAGAGCGTTAGCCCACTTGGATTTTTATAGTTTCCTCCTACAGCTCTTCCTTAAAGAAAGGAAGTTTAAACAAATATCAAGCTTCAGAAGTAATTTTATATGACTAATTAGGCTGCAAGTTTAGCAATCTTAAATATGCTTGTGTTCCTGGAGAGCTCATCTCCTTTGTAAGCACAGGAAAGAATATCTCTCTTTATGGCTTCTATGATCTATAGGACATAACTCTTCACCCATCTCTCTTGCATCAAAGTCTTTGGTCATAGTGTTAATAGAACAGGATCCTGTATGGCATTTGTAACTTAGTGTATATCCTTGATGCTCACAGTAATAATGTTAACAAATGTCCAGTTACTCAACACAGTGGAAGTGAATACAGGTCACCTGCTCCCTGGGCATGGATTTTAGTGAGATATGCATGTTTTCACTGAACTTTTCTCTCACTGCACAATACTTCCAGGGTATCCCCCACATTCATCAGCTCTCAGGTATATCTAAAGTAAAAATAAATTACATATTGCCAAGTTATGCAAATCTGGGAAAAACAACAGAGAACTTGTTAGCAACACCAGGAGTTATTTAAGACCCAAATGCAGGAGGAATTGTAGAACAGAAAACAGGATCTATTTCTTTTTCTGCTTCTGCACTACCATACCTTCCCCTTTTTTTTTTCCTCAGTTTGGATACTCCATATGTTTGCTGTTTCTGCATTTCTGATGTTTTCTTCTCTCAGTTCCCCTGCCATACCTCATTTACCTTTTCTGATTCTATGGAAGTCAGTTTTGCCAAGCAGACTTTCTCTGCCTACTGCATTTTATGATCATTTGTATGCAGAATGCAATCTATATGAATTAAATAGATCCTAAATATATATCAATTCCAACATGCATTTTCAGGTTTGCGAAATTACATTCCTGCCTCTGCTGATCCATCTGCTCATAGGTACCATATGTCAGTTACTTTATCAGGAAGCTTCAGGGGGATCCATTAAAAAGAGTCCACAGCATAATTAGAAAAAAGAACATTTGTTTTCCCAGCTGCCCTGTTTTCATCTTTCCTCTTCAAATGTTCTGCTGATTTCAATTAAGCTCACCATAGATGTGCCATCCTGGTGAACCCGGAGAACTAATTCCTTTAAAAATATCTTACTTGCAAGGTGGATTTTCTTCACTTGGTTCAGCTGTAATCCCAAGTGCCTCAAGGGATGCTGTCACAAAAACTGCCTTGCAGAGCTGTGGGGCAGCTCTGGTGTCCACAGTCAAGACAGTGCTGCCATGTAAGGGTGAGCAAAGCCCAGCGCTGGGGACATGCCGCTTGGGAAGCACAGCGGTGGCCACAGCTCCACCTCCAGCCCTGCTGTAGTCTGCCTGGGTGTTTGATAGGACACGGGGACAGAAGCAAATCCCCTTCCAGCTCTTGAAGCACATTGTACTGGTGATGTCCTGGCTGGTGTCCTCCCCAGCCAACAGCGACCCAGGGTATCGCAGGACCTGGAGCAGGGCTGCCAGGCTGGTCACCCCCATGGTGATTCCTGTTTCCCGGTTTGCTGGGGAGAGGGAGTGGATGCTACATAGACACATTACCAGGGCACTGGGATCCGAGTTCAGCTGCAGGATTAATATTTATCAGTTGGTTTTCCTTCTTCCTCTTGTCCAAGGGGAAAAGCCTATGCACAAACCATTTTATTTCATTAGGGAGTTATTTTGTTTTGGTCTGTCTTTTTAACCTTGTTTGTGGAGGTCACTCTGTGTTTACAGTAGAGAAAGCACAGGAAATGTGCATCTGCTTCAGGAGCACAAAGCAGTGGTGTTCACAGAGCTCTTCTTGCAGCCTTGGCTGGTCTAAAACAAGCTCTGCTGCCTCCTCACATGAATTTATCCTGACTGTGGCTAGTGTGGTTGTGACAGAGAAGCAGGCTACTTGACCTGAGGCTTGCTGTGCTCCGCTGGACACCTGGGTGCTGCCTCACGGGGTGTCCAAGAGATGATTCTGAGCCATCCTGCCCCACTCAGCAATCCACAGGAAAACCCCAGCAGAGCTTGAAAGATGATCTCGGATCAGGTGTGTCCACACAAGCTGGAAACAACTAGTGACTAGATGAGACTGCACCACGGTGGCAATAGCATGTCCTTGCCCTCCAGTCTCCCCCTACATGGTAGGGGCCACCTTCATCTCTCCGGGGCCTTTCCCACAAGCATGCAGTGACATGCAGCAAAGGCTGAGTGCAGCTGCCTCTGGAGCATGCTCCTCATAGCTGCTCTTGCTTCCTCTGAAAAGCTTAGCCCCAACTAAGTTGGAGCTGAAGCAGGTATTGAGGAGAGTGGAGGGAGTTAAGTCTGGTGGAATGGGATGAGTAGCAGGCAAACAGTGCAGCTGTGCTGCTCAGCCAGAGTGTCTCTCACAGGGTGACTCAAACCATTAGCCTCACCACTTGTTCTGGCCTCCTGCTGCTTTTCCTTAGGTGAGATAGCAGCATCCCAACAAGCAAAAGCACACTGGTAGCCAAATTTGTAATGCTTAATGCTTAAAGTTTGCCTGTCTGACTGCAACCCTTTCTTGTTTGGAAGCAATTTACCCCATGTGCTTCCCCAGCTCGGGTGCATTAAAACATCCTCTGCTTTTCCCCACTTCTCTGCTGTATCTGTTTCTCTGCCCAGTGCAGTTTGCACAGCTCACCAGCTCTAGCATCTCTGACATATTTTAAAGCAATTTCAACCTCAGCATTGCTTTCCCAGGGCAGGCTTGTACTGGAGAAAATCCCATAGGAAGATGTGCCTCTATGCGTTGTGATCTCTAGAGAGCTTAGCAATGCAATAGATACAGAGTGCCAGGAGTGCCTTGGTTTATTTAATTAAAGCAGGTGGGGTTTAGCTGCCAATATGCAAATTTTTTTCTTTTTCACTTCTTAGTGTAATTACCTAACTATAAAGATCCACAAGGAAATAAGGGAGGAACAGTTATTTAGCCAAAGGGAGTCAATAGATACAACTGATTAATAAGTCACGGGTACTTACTAGCTACTTCATTTTCATGTATTGCCTGAAAGGATGTTAGAAATACTGAACAAAGGTTGATTTTATGGAATCTAACTCTTAGAACTGGAGTGAGGATTTCAAGAGATGTCTCCCAGAAAACAGCAGTGTGTGCTAATGAGGCAATGCCAGATTTCAGCTTCTTTCTAGAACAGACACATTGTGGTTGCTTGCTGCTTGCCCCAGGTTGCCAGAGTAGCTCTCACTGGGGGAAGCAGAGCAGGATGCTTCACTCCCCTGTGCTCTCAATTGAGTTTCCTTGCGCAATTTACATCTGGATTATGTGGAGCCACTAGAAACCAAATATTTATAAAATCATGTGTAGCTCATTACTTCCTCTTTCACTTGAGAATTTTGAGACCAAACAGTAACTCTGACCTTGCAGAGGTTTGTCAATGCCTGGCAGAACAGTCCTATGGGTGAGCAATGGGGCCAGTCAGTCAAAAGTAACTGCATTTCATCAGGGTGGTGTGTAAATATAATTAAAAGTTCAGAGAGCTCAAATAAACATCAGACTCTTGATGAGTTAGTTCAGCTGGATGTGGCAAGAGAAATTAACAAAGCTGCTGTTGCTGCATCGTGTCAGAGATTTGCCTGCTGTTGACCAAAGGGTTTGTGGGCTTGGCATGGGTCAGGCTGTGCAAGGCTCCTCGCTGGGTTTCTGCCAGCCTGTGCCACATAGAAGGCATGTGTGGAGGCTGAGACCTCAGAGGGACCCTCATTTAATAGTACCCTGGGCTTTAGACACTGTCTTCCACTCGGGTATTCTTAGAAGTGATGCTCAGTGTGGGTGTCACTCTGAACCTCTGCTAAGGACAAGGGTCCACCAGGACAAGCACTTTTTTGAAGCAAGCATACTGTATAGTGAGCTGTTCTGAGAAAGCAAAGGGTGTTTCATGGATGTGTGATACCTACGCCCTGATCTTCGTGGCTTAAATGAGCTGAAAGCCTCTCCTGGTGTTTCAGAATGATTTCTCTTTGTCTCACCCTTTGCACTTCTGCATTCCTATCCCTGCTGTAGGCCATTGGACGCCCACACATGCCTGCCTACTGGTCTCTGGGATTTCACCTCTCCCGATGGGGTTATGGCAGCATTGATGTTTTAAAGGAAACTGTTGATCGCATGCACTACTATGATATCCCCTACGTAAGTATGAACTTTTCACTGTGTATGCTAATTCTACAATCCAAAGTGAGAGGAATAAAATTATGATAGAAGTGATTTATCCTACAAAGAGAATTGTAGAATAAAAGACTGTTCATAATCTTAGGTAGTGGTTTTGCATGTAATATCTTTACAATGCTTAAAAGAACATTTAAAGCAGGCTTTGAACACGAGGTTTAAGTGCCACTCTTGCTTGCATAGCTGGTGATTCTGGTGTGGATTTACTGTTATGCTGTATGAGATGCTAGCATTTTAAAAATAAATTATGGTACTTCTGATGCATATCACTAGGACTCCTGCATTTCCATTTTGTCCATTGATACCATGTAAGTTTTTAGGAGCTGAATCTGGCCTGACAGTTATTTACAATTTTTATAGCCAATCTCTTAGGTTTCATTTCGTATGTTGATTACCTTTAGAAATGCAGTTGCATACATTCTAATTTTCTGTATCAAATACTTCAGTCATAGAATAAGAGAATCGTAGAATAGTTTGGGTTGGAAGGGTCTTTTAAAGGTCATCTAATCCAATCACCCTGCAATGAACGGGGACATCTTCAACCAGATCATGTTGCTCAGAGCCCTGTCTAACCCAACCTTTAATGTTTCCAGGGATGGGGCATCTACCACCTCTCCGGGCAACCTGTTTTGGGGTTTCACCACCCACACCATGAAATATTTCTTCCTTATATCTAGTCTGAATCTATCCTCTTTTAGTTTAAAGCCATTACCCCTTGTCCTGTCACAATAGGCCCTACTAGAGAGTCTGTCCCCATTCTTCTTATAAGCCCTATTCAAGTATTAGAAGGGTGCAATAAGTTCTCCCCAGAGCCGCTTTCTCTTCAGGCTGATCAAGCCCAACTCTCTCAGCCTTCCCTCATAGAAAAGGTGCTCCAGCCCTCTGAACATTTCTGGGGCCCTTCTCTCTACTTGCTCCAACAGGTCTGTGTATTTCCTGCACTGAGAACTCCAGAGCTGGATGAAGTACTAATGTAATGTTTACTTTAAAAATGTTTAGGATGTCCAACATTTTGATATTGACTACATGGAGCGTCGCCTGGACTTTACCTATGATAAAGTGAACTATGCGGGTCTGCCACAGTACCTCCAACAGCTGAAGAAGGAAGGAATGCACAATGTCGTGATTCTGGTAAATTAATGATGTTGCTAATTATTTCTCTGTTTATAAGAGCTATTTTCAGCATAGTGTTCATAGCAGTATCTAGGTGCTAATGCACACATGCTGTTATACCAGATTTTCTATTTTTATCATTTGTTGAGAAGAGCTGAAGAACAATTTCTTATAGATCTCATATTTAAATTGTTGCATTTATCAGATATCTGTACCAGCACCAGCCCTATATCATGATATTAATTCTCTTTCACTTTGTCTCACTCAGTTATGAGAAATTTTGCCTCTGTTAAGGGTTGAGTTGAGGTAGGATTTGTTTCATACCATTCTTTCCC